TTAATATGTGTGTTGGCGCCGTTTCTGCTGCGCCCTAACAGATGGCGCTATAGCGAGATATCGTTTACTTTAATCGCGATGCTAAGATACTATGTCTCGCTACAGATATGCTTCCCGCAAGTCGGTAATGTTTGGTGTTTGGTTCGGTGTTGTCATTGCGTTCTTTTGGTTGTTATTGTTGTCGTTGCGTTTTGTAGTTTTCGTTCGTTCGTTTCGTTGTGCGTTGGTCGAGTCGTCCAAATTTCGGACAAGTTGCGTAGGAAACAAACAATGTGATATAATAAAAATAAAGCCGACTTCATAAAAAAAACAATCGCAAATAAAATGCACTAAAAAGTAATAACATAATGTCACGAAGAAACACTCTCGAAAGTAATAAATTTCTCTTCTTTCTTGAAATATGTCTATATTTTACAATTATTGTTATTTCGGAGTCGGTGTCGGCCCGATGTCTTAGACCTATTTATGTTTAAGTTAGTCCGAAAGTGTTCCGTTTTTTACCTTTCGAGGTAGGGAACCCTAAAAATTAAATATTAACGAGTGATCTATTATACTTTTTATCAAAACATTTATTTATTTAAGTGTACTCGTACATATCGTTGCCAGGCGTCCGGATATAGCCTGACACAGGTAGGCTTTTTGATTGCGGATCCGGCCAAAATATAAGTGTCCGGATTGTCCGGCTTTTGTTAGGCTTTTTACATTTTTCAAACGAGAGTCATACCTAAAAATATCTTTCTACCCAAATGTCCGGCCAAAAGGCTGATCTGTCCGGCTATTAGATTTGGCGACCTGGCAACCCTACTCGTACACTCTGAAGTTGACAAGATACAACGTCAAATTGGAATTTATTTCGTAGCGGATTTATAACTAACTAGTTATATTAAAGAGCTAAGAGGAAGAGGTATTTGTAAGGTGCGGTTGCGGCGCTTATTTCCATGCTATTAGCAGACAAGTGACCGGCGAGGAGCAAGTGGAGCTATTTACTGTGAAAAGATTCAACGTGATGCGGAGACGTCATCATTTCACTAAAATTTAATTACGATATTTCACACGTAGACTTTTTCGTTAAAAATACAGGTTATTAAAGCGCAAGTTATTATAACTAAATACAATTTAATCGTAATTTGAGTAAATTAAGTTTTTTAAATATCTGCCTCACACACACACGAGCACGTACACGGCACACGCACACACACACGCGCACGCATATTGTACACTCAATATTTGCTTAACGCATTCGCAGTTTTTGTTAACGAGTTTTTGTGTTGACGGCGCGGTGCAGTTGCAGTTGCACACTGCAACCACTGCCCGGTGATGTAAACACTTTTAACTGCATTGCAACTTAAATGAATACACTCTTTTCTACACTACGATGATATGTCTGAAGTAAATTAGATGAAATTTATGTTTTAATCAGCTCTATTTTTAACGCAAATAAATAAAGTCAGGATTTAACGGTCTCGTAGTTCCAGTTTTGTGACAGGTTAGTGTCTGTTATTTTATACATTATTCTGCTGTTTTGTTTTACAAGTGTATATATATGTATGTAGTATATATTATAATTATAATAGAAGAGTAGAGACATCAATTGGATACATGAAGATGGACCACAAGGACCGGCCGATATTATTAACGAGGGGGAGGGAGGGAGAGAAACAACCAAATGAAGTGTTGCTACAATGTGTTGCAGCGGGAACCGAAGTGTCACCATGCTATTCTCTACTTAGTAACAACGATTGGTCTTTGTGACGGCAACAAAAGCAGGTGATGTCACAATCTTCTTTTTTAATTTACATTGCTTCTGTACCTTATATGCTTGTGTTATCGGGCACGAAAACGTATAAATGGTTCCTGTGAGCGTTGTGCACTCAAACAATAAGTCAACCGGCATACAAACACCGCATTGTACCGCGCCCTCACTACCGTGTCGCCGCCGCGAGCGCTGCGAAGTGCGCGGTGCGGGATGCGGGGCGCGGGATGCGGGGTGCTGGGTTTGGGGCTGGTGTATCATCTGCCTCGAGGCTGCAAGTCGCAGCACATGGATCATTGACATCACAATGGACACTGTGATGTCCCCACAACGGTATTGTTCTCGCCGTCCTGATCATACGGATGAGGGATAAACAAATATACTATACTATGTATGACTAAATAGGTATGTATAAATACTTGCATAGGTCAATTATGTTTTAACAGTGAAGTTACGTTGTGCAGTAAAAAAAAATGCAACATCATCAGTTTTTTATATTCTTTAATACCGCAATATGTTTTGTTTAATGCTTGTGTGACGTGTGTGCGCCCCACCCCACCCCT